CAGTTGGACTTGATGATCTTAAAGGTCTTTTCCAACCTAAATGATTCTGTGATTCTATGTTGTTGTAATTCTCACTTCAGAATAAATGTTCCTTGAAAGAAAAGAAAAAAAGGTCAGAAATTTATTAGAGGCTAAGGAAGGAAAAGTAGCTGCTGTTTAAGTACCTTATTTTAAATAAATGGAGTACCAACTTAATACTTAAGAAAAAGAATAGCTGTTGTGGTTTAACCCTAGCTGGCAACTAAGCCCCATACAGCCACTCGCTCACTCCTCCCAGTGGGAGAGGGGAGAGAATTGGAAGAGTAAAAGTGAGAGAAGTCATGGGTTGAGATAAAGACAGTTTAATGGGTAAAGCAAAAGCCTCATGCGCAAGCAAAGCAAACCAAGGAATTCATTCATTCATCGGCAGGCAGGTGCTCAGCCATTCCCAGGAAAGCAGGGCTCCATCACGTGTAATTACTTGGGAAGACAAACACCATCACTCCGAACATGTTTCCCCCTCCCTTCCCCCAGCTTTATACGCTAAGCATGATGTCATAGGGTATGGGGTATCACTTTGGTCAGCTGGGGTCAGCTGTCCTGGCTGTGCCCCCTCCCAGCTTATATACCTTGACTCTGTGTAAGCACTGCTCAGCAATACCAAAAACATCCCTGTGTGATCAACCCTGTTTTCAGGACAAATCTAAAACATAGCCCCATACCAGCTGCTATGAAGGAAAGTAACTCTATCCCAGACAAAACCAGCAGAGTAGTAGACCTTACTTATTTTTAGCATGTACTTTGGTTTTCTGCTTCCAGACAAAATGCAAAAATGTAAAGAACACGACTAGCCAGATGATGTTTTCATGTTGTGGCTATGCAGAGAAGTAGAGGGAAGATTTATGGGTTACTATGTGCGAACACTGCTAGTTTGTTAAAACAGATGTGTGTACATACTTCCTTATAAGAGAAGAAATAGTCATTACTGTATATGAACCAATCAGAGATCTAGTCATGACAGTTTAAAACAGTTACTTTACGTAAGCAGTGTTTTAACTTCTAGTTTTCCTCCCATAAAGGTACCACTGGCCTTTTTTGTAGTTCGTGTTATAGTAAAGGCACCTTTACTGATACAGCCATTCTTTATCTTCCTGATGCCCTGTGTTAGCTCTAGTATAACTTCTAATTGCATTAAAAATTACTTAATTTTTGTCTATATAACACTTTTACTGAAAGCACAGTTTGGGTTGAGTATGTACAGGGCAACTCAGTCCTACCTATTATAGGATGGAGAGCATTCAGCACAGCTTAGAATACGTTGTGTCTTTAGATTAGAATTGTAGTGTTTTAGTAGAGTTGTCTTTGAGACCTAGTGAAATCAGCTGGAAATAGTAAATAAAACCTCTTGTAACTGAAATGAAATTTTGAGATAATTGTATCTCTATGATCCAGGATAAATCTTGCAATCTCTCCTCATAACCTTATGTGAATTTGCTACTTGGCATCTTTCTGTTGAGTGTGCAGTTGAGATGTCTTTAGTTTTTTCTCTTTGAGACCCTTCTTTACTGAATGATTCTTTGTGTAAAAGAGGGGGGGGGAGGAATAATTTGGAACCCTGGTCTTTCCCAGGGAATACTAGAAGGATGAAGTACATCTGTTTTTATCCTTTCCATATGAACACCACAAGGCTGTAGTCTGATAAGTAAAACAGGATTACAGACAAAAAATGCGAACCTAGGGAGCAGGAATTTGATCCAGATTTCCATCTTTGTTATGAGTAGTGTTGTATTTATGGAAATAAATTAGAATTTTATACTTTGGTTGCTGAACTTTGATTTATATAGGTCAAAATAAATGACCTCAGAAAAATGCTTCAATAGAAAAACATATATGTACATAAATATTTATTGGTATAGAGAATATATATAGGCTTATAGTAGAGTTTTATAGGGGAACCAGATACCACAAGTAACAAAACCTTCTGTAAGTTCTCAGCCACTGAAAAAAATTGTATGTAATTTTTTTTGTTTCATGTATATAATGAGTGTGTTTGGAGTGGAAATAGAAAAAAAGACAAAGACATAGAATAGAAGGTAAACTGTTTATATTTTACATATTACGTATTTATGTGTTACATATTTGTAATGTTAGGGGGTTTAACATATAATTGGTTCTTTCTTCTAGTTACTGCAACCAGATACTTAGTAAAGAAGTTGACAGCTGTGTGACAGATCTCTTAAAAGAACTGGTTCGTTTCCAAGATCGCTTGTATCAGAAAGACCCCGTAAAGGCCAAGATAAAACGCAGGCTTGTTATGGGTCTTAGAGAAGTATTGAAACATCTGAAGCTGAAGAAACTGAAGTGTGTCATCATCTCTCCTAACTGTGAAAAGATTCAGTCAAAGGGTAAATAAGTTAAAAAAAAATGCTTGCTTTTATGAAAGAAATGTAAAAAAGCAGACTCAGTATACTGACAGCAGTATTATTATTGGAGGAACTTACTTGAGCAGCCTTTGAATCCAGCCACATGAAGATGCCTTCCTTCAGATTGTTTACTGCTGTGCAACTGAAGTGTGAGCTGAGTCAAGACTCTCTGGCGCGGGGGGAGCTCTCTGAAGCTAGGATCTGTTTAGTTACTGATTTGCAGTGCAGCTCCACAAAAGATTGCCCTGGCACAGCTAAGAGACAAAAGCTACTGATGCCAGCTGTGCCACCGCCAGAAGTCCTGCTCTATCAGTCTCTTTTAGGCCACAGATTAACAATAAGTTGTCAGTGATAGGTTGTTTGAAATTTGTTGTAATTGTTGTTATTACTTTCTATTAACTTCTAAATAATTTCTTAGCAGCTGGGTCTTTTTTAATACTAAAGTAGACTATACTACACATATAACAAAATATGGAATAGTAGCAGACTAAGAATACTGCCAATTAGGAAGTAAGAAAAAAATGTCAAATTCTTCTTTAGAAATGGAGATCCATGTATTTTTTCCTATAAACTTTTGTAATTTCAAAATGTACCCGTAATCTTGGGATATTTTTTCCCATCTTTTAACAGCTTGAATAGTGTCATTCTTTGCTAATCCTGTTGTCTGCTCCAGGCGGGTTGGACGAGACTCTACACAACATTATTGACTGTGCCTGTGAACAGAATATCCCGATTGTTTTTGCCCTTAATCGCAAGGCCCTGGGCCGCTGTGTGAATAAAGCAGTGCCTGTGAGTGTGGTGGGGATTTTTAGCTATGATGGGGCTCAGGTACGTTGAAATAGATAGGCTCACGTTCTTGTTTAGCTTTACTTTCTACCTGTACGCGGAAAAAATACTCTCAACTTTAATGTTTTGTTTGTTTTGCTTTTGCACACTTACACTCTTTATCCCAGGTCAGTGGCTGATAGGAAAAACTGATTTTAGAAGTACAGCCACTCAGCACTGTTCAAAAAAGTAGTTTGACCATCTTTTCCTGGCATCCTCTCCATCTAGAGTTCTTCCCAATTTTTTTTTTCCCAAGAGAATCGGTGGTTTTATAAATGCTTATAAATGGTTTGGTTTTCATGTCTTTTTACATATCTAGCTGCTCAACTTTTCTATGTGAACATAAATGTTCTGAATGAAGAATATTCATTACAGATGTTCATGGAGTTGTTAAAGCTTACTGTATCACTTAAGATCTACTAATATTTTCTGTTTCCATAGGACCATTTTCATAGAATGGTACAATTGACAACAGAGGCCAGGAAGGCCTACAAAGATATGATAGCAACTTTAGAGGAACAAGCTGAAGGAGGACTAAGAGAAACCCAACCCAGCACCTTAACCACTGAAAAAAACGAAAAAAATGATTTATCAGAAACTGGTAAAACATCTTCCAAGGACTCTGATGAGGATGTACCAAATTATAGTGAGTACTTACTGACTTATTTTTGGTTCAGTTTTCATTCAAAGTGCTCTTCAATTCTACCATTTTCACTGAAACAAATGACACCTGATGCTTTAGTTGTTTGTAAGGGGGGAAATTCTGTTTTTCCATTATTTTTCCCTGCCTCCCCTCCCCCCAAATTTTATAAACCTGAGGTCAGCTCTTACTGAAAAAATCTTAGAGAAAATTCCTCTCTGTAATCCACTGATGGCAGACGGTACTCATTGCTTTGTCCAAGAAAGTTTAACAGAGCTCCTTATTATTTGTATTTGTTAAAAAATCCTCTTTTTTTTTTTTCTAGAAGTGCATACTCTGTAACTATGGTGTTCAATAACTATGTATTGAAGCCTGTTTGAGATCCATTTTCCTATTGAAAAGTACTCATGTTTTGTAAAGGCCTTCCACTTTTAGATACACATTCCTCCAGCTCTGTTCATACAGTCACCAGATGGTTATCACAGATACCAGGCAACTTAAAACTTCTTTGAAAGTTTTGAAAATGAAGTTGGATTCACCTTCATAGTTAGCCTTGCTTGAGTAGGGGACAGAGCATAAAGACCTCAATGAATCCCGTCACTCCTAAAGTATTCTTTCATGTGTCATCTGATGTTGGGTCGCGTATGTGCCAACCTGCTCATGTGCCAACTTATCTCAGCACTTCCTTTGAGGAGGAAGTAGAGAATCAGTGTGACTTCTTTTTAAGTTTTTTCTCAATTATTACACAGTAACCTGTTTGTTGGTTTGTTGTTTTTTGTTTTGTTATTCTAATATTCCCTAGTTAAAATCTGGAAGAGAAAACTTGAAGAAGAGTATAACCCATATGCACTGGAACTGGAGAAGAGTGCAACTGCTGACATGGTGATAGCAAATTCGGAAGAGCATCAGTAAATCCAGATCCAATTCTGTTGGCTTTTGATTTCTTTTTAGGCCCCCTAGGAAGAGGGTAGCAAAACAAAGTAACTTAATAAATATCTGAACTCAGCTGAGGAAACTGTTCTGAATCCCTTTAAGTGAAATACACCCTGGAGCTCCTGAGGCACTGGCTAATGCTTTTACGTTCCATGTATTTGGCTGATTACTATAGAAGATTACAACAACCAATTGTCTTGGCTTGAACTGGCTTGGCATCCTTTAATGGTTGTATGGACTAGCATTGATTTGTTAGTGATACAACGTAGCAAAAGAACTTGCTAGAAAGATAATTTTGTTTGGGAAGACATTCCATGAGCCAAAAGATTGGGGCCTGGGGGGAGCTGCTTTTTATTTTTAACTTTTGTTTAAAGAACTTCAACTGTTTTTTGATTGTGGGCTTGCTTTTGGTGTTTTTCTTCCAAGTAAATCTGCTCAGGTGGGCAGGCTGGCATCAATGTCACTTTCCTCCAGTCAGCAAGAAATTAATTCTGGGCAGGCAGCTTGATTGAAACTAATTAAGGAAGGCCATGGTGACAAAGTTCCCACTTAGCTCTTCTGTGTGGTGTTTTGTTCTTCTGGGATCATACAGCAGGTGTGAAGGGAGAGACCATGGACTGCAAAGGTCTGAAATTCCAGAAATGAAAATGCTCTGTTTAGAAATTTTATGAAGCTGATTAAGTGTACAACGATGATATTTCTGCTGCTACTGAGACTAGTTTATCGTAGGTCCTGCTCTGAAGTTAGGGGATATTGAAGGACAGCACCTGTGCAAGCTTGCTGTCCTGTCTGTACCTTCTCCATGCCAACATTCCTTCAGTTTGGGGTTGTGTTGGTGTATATATGTAAGCTTTTTTGATCAATCTCAGTTTGTATCTAAGGTAGGGAGAATTTATATCTCATACAAAATAAAATTTATATCTTGTAGGGAATAAAATTTTAAAAACAAAGTGTGCTCATAATGGTGGTGCAGTACCTTAGTGGAAACATCCTATATAAATACCATCGTTCACAAGTTGCAGACATAAGAGGACAAGGTAAAGGAAGTAATTGGAGGATGCATGTGTAACTTCTGTCAGATGTTCTGAAAGATGGTATAGATGCTATGTGCTGCTGCCAGCATCTCTGAAGTGTGCCTGTAAGTGCTTCACCACATTGAACATTTGTACTGCAATACTTTGGAAAGTAGCTGCCTTGTGAAGTTAGAAGTGATATAAAGACTTCAAATAATTTTTAAATTCAAACAATTTTGTAGAATGTAAGTTGTATAAAATCTGTTACAACATATGGATTCTATAAAGTATGGTTGTGACTTAGATAAACTCCTCTGGTGGTGGGCACTTAATGATACTTGAAATAGCAGTTTTGGGGAAGAACATTGGTAAAGGAAGCCAGGCTTACACTGGTTTCACTAGTTATGATAATGATTTTTTTGTATTAGTTTTTTCTAATCTTAAATGGAAATTAAGGGTGAAAGATCCCAGTGAAACCATGAAAGATGGTTTTGGCCAGCGGTTATCCTTGATAACCATGGTAAGTTGTGGTTTATTTGTCCTTGTGCTGCTTTGATGCATATCTGAAACTGAAACTGTTTAAATGCAGTCACTGCATGGAACAGTGACCAGTTGGTTAAGATCACATTAACAGCTTGGGGAGGGGGCATATTTTCTATTTTGTCTTACTGTAGAAGAGCATGAAAAGTACTTTGGAAACTTTATACATTGTTTAAAATCTTACAGAGTTATTTCCTGTTCTTGGGATGTAGCAAAAGAATTCACTCTAAAGGGTCACAGCTGTGTTCACTAATTCTGTTACACAGATTTATTTTCACAAAGTTGAGCTAAACAAAAAATCTGGCAATCTTTTTGTTGTTGTTGTTTTTGCAGTACTTTGCTGCAGAGACAAGGCAAAGCTCAGCTATGCTCATCTGAAATGGAGGTGAATCTTACAAAGCCTTACCTTCCCACTCAGTACCACAGAATTAAACTTGTCTGCTCCAAATCTACTGAACAAATAGAGGAGGACAATTCAAGGAAAGTCTTTTTACAGTTGTCCCTTAGCCATAAAAGATGTCATAAGAGAAGCACAATGGGGAAAAACTTCCCTCTGAATAGTTGGTGTGAGAAGCTTGCATCAGCATTGATTTATGATTGCTAGTGTGAAAAATAGGTAAAATAATTTGTGCATAAGAGTTTTCACCCTGCATGTGTGGCCAGAGTGTGGTCTGTTATTGAAAAAAAAAAAAAAGGTCATTTAGGAAAGTCTTAGAGTGAGGAGAATTCTGTCTTCAATGTGAGAAACAATTGAATTTGAATTAAATTTTAATTAAATTTAGGGGATAACTTAGGGGTAAGTATGAACTTTTCTGCTGTTGCTAGGAGCAGCTGTCCCCATGGACTCAAGCTACAGTGATTCTTAGGTGGCATCTTACTCGCTTCCAGATTGTTGAAAACCGTTGAGAAGACACAAAACTTGAATTAGGCCTCAGACTTCTGTTTATTAGATGCAGAAGGACAAAACTCTGAACAGCAATGCAGTAAAACGATGTCACAGTGGATTAAGTAGGTCCTCTGGTGACACCAGAAAGGAATGCTCTTCAAAACACTGGGAACAGAATATAAGGGTAAACACATTAAATTAAAATAAAAGTTTAAGTGCCTTTAAATAACTGTGATCCACATCTTACTAATCTCTAAATCACATGCCAAGATGCCCATGCCCAAAATTAACTGGTTTGCTTAATGAACTCAAAACAGAAGCCACACATCGTATTACATTGTTTGAGCAGCACAAGTCTTACTGAGACCACTTTTGTTCTTCGTTAAGCTGGAATAACTGGCATCAGAAAACCAGAGGGAGTTCCAGCATGGGAGGCCACTGCCTCTTGTGTAGCACGTAACTTTTAGTTATTTTTCGGTGCAGTAAGGATATCCTCTTCCACCTCAAGCTTCAGGTGATTTTTTCCTGAATATCAGTTTTAATGCTAGCACTAGCACTCACAAATACCTCTTTGAATGCTGTGGTATTAAGAGCACTGGGTAGTCTACCTTGCTTACATTTCTCCTTCCGGCCTGTTCATTCCTTTGTCTCTTAGAGGCTGTTTTTCTTGTTGCAGCTCTCCTGAAGAAGTAGTAGTTCAGAATGACATGTAAATAGTGCTTTAAAAATTAAAATGGAGTTTAAAGGCTGCCTAACTGTTCCACATGCAATAAGCACATATCATATCCAAAAGTCGCAAAAAGTAATCGTTGTTCTAAGTGTTCAAGAAAAAGCTGTGTGTGGACTATTTTTTTTTTAAAGGAAGGCCAGCTTTGATGGACAATATGATTTATGAAGTCCAGTAGTGTCTGCAATCCAGTTAATCTATAGCTGTGATGAAATTCATGTACTACATTCAGTATACATTGTTTTGGGCAGGACGAGAACTACTGACTGATTAGCCCTAGGTTAGTGGGCTGAAGGAGCAAACTGACACAATTTTAATATATGCGTCATAGATTAAGCAGATTTTACTGCCGAGAGGGTCAAGAATGACAACGTGTACAGGAATGCTAATCTCTATGTTACATAAATGCACTTGGTTGCAGAAGCATCATAAGCTATTTATAAAATTGGGACTGCAGTGTCTCACACAGAGTGCTGTAGGAGACCCCTCTTCAAAAATTCTTACCCAAGTTTTCCTCCAGTTTTGCATCATCTTGTCATGTTCACTGATGGCGCTTCTCCAGGTATCAAATTCTTTGGTCCATCCATCCTGACCCGCACTATCTGAGAATTGTACATGGGATGATTGCATAATTACACAGTGATGAAGTAAGTTGTTACCTATTCAGTTGCAGTACTTCCTGGGGAGGATTGGGATAAAAAGAACAAAAGCCACCATCTTGTCCTTCATTTTGCTCTACCTCCTCTTATGTTATACGGAAATCAGTTCTATTGAAATGGTCATGTCCCTTACCCTCTGCAGCAAACTCTACAGGCTCCAGAGTAAACAGATTCAGTGCCCTTATCTCTGATTCAAGGTCTAGAAAATAATGACTGACAGGTTAAGAGTTCAAACCCATTTAAGCAGCACAGGAATGCTCCAGTTACATCATACCAAGCCTGGGGAGAAGAATGATACAATACAGCTGACTATGTCCAGTTTTCAATCTCCCCATTTTTCAGTAATGTTATGTAGTTATTCTTCATTCCACTGAGAATGTAAGAAGGGCTATTTTATTGCCTCTTGATAAAAATCTAGTTCTGTCTGCCAGTTTTTCTTGCAGAATGTAACACTGTGGTGGTGACATAGAATTTTCTATTTATCCTTTGGGACACTAGCAACAGTATATAATGCTTTTGGAGCACAGTGAAAACCTCCATCTGATTTACTTCTACAGTAGTTTCATTTCATTCTGCTTCCAAGACAGGCTTCAAAGTAACTGGAGTGATGGCAAGACAACTTGTGTGACTCCTACTGCTTTTCTCTGTCACTGAAAAAAGTTCTGAGCTGTTCTTGACAAATTCATGTTTGTTATTAACCAGCTAATTAAAAATAATTCACTTTTTCCTTCACCCTGCCAAGAAAATCCATACTATATCATCTTCATTGCTCCTGCTCTCTTTTTCTAAAGAGTATTCAGACTTTCTCCAGGCCTGGGTAAGTTCTGAAAACCTAGTTGCAAATGACGCTCCAGTTGCCTCAGTCAGTTCTGGGTACCCAAAGGTCTTGCACAGCTGCTGAAGTTGCTTAACTGACCTCCTGCCCAGGCAGTCTCCAAATGAAGAGGTAGGAACTGACCTCACCCAACTACAGGGGACTTCAAAGTCACCTGATTTTTAAAAATCCTGTGTGGTGGGAGTTTACCATCTGACTTCCTTGGCATTGAAGTATTTTTCTACAACGCTCCCTAGAATTCAGGCAGGGCACCTGTTTTTAACTCTCTAGTACTCGTCTGACTGCCCATGTGTTTAGCAGTTTGTGTTCCATTTGTAGATCATAACTGCTCATTTGCAGGTTGGTCCTTTGTGGGAGGGGGTTAAAGAAGGAATTTTAATGGTTCTAAAACCTTTTCATAAACCATTGAAGTATATACTAATACAGTAAGCAAGAGTTACCATCTTCAGCTAGGCACATGCTTTATGGCTGAAAATGACAGAGCTTTCCTCGTATCAGGGTCAGGCCAAACCCAGCATACATTCAAAACCAGCCTACCTTTGTCTTGCACTGTGACGCGTACTTCTGATGTTGTGTTCGCAGCTCTTGAGATGAATGAACATTTATATTCTGTATTTTCTGACACTGAGTCTTTCACCCAGCTCAGAACGTGCACTCTGCCATCAAGCAGCATATGAGATTGCTCAGTGATGCACACCTTCATCTCCTGTCCGTTCTTCTTCCAGACAAAATAGGAGTCACCCGGACCTGTAAAAACGTCAGTCAGGCTTATTTTGTAAGAAAATACAAGATGAGTCTTTGAAAAGAAAACAAAAGCCCAAGACCTCAAGATTAGGCTCAAAAGCACAAATTGTAATGTTTCTTAGGTTTCTTCAGCTGAAATTCTGGGTACCAAAAGCATGCGATAAAAAGGAGCTAGCGCTGGTAATTGAGGTTCAAGCCGAAGTTGTAAATAGGCTTGTATGTATAAAGGTATTCCACCTGGATCCTCACAAGTGATCCTCACTGGCTGCACGAGTTCCATGAAGCAGGGCAAGAACATCAGCACTGTCTGCCTGTACGAGCTCCTGTAGAGCCAGGCCACATGACCTACTGCTGATCAAGCTACCTTCTGGTACGAAGCTGAAGCTGTCTGAGACGTGCCTTGCAAAATCTGAAATAAAGGCCAGGAGGGGAAAAAGTTCAAGAACTCAGTGTGTCGAAGATGCTGGAACTAATAATGAAAGCAGCAGAGTTGGAAACGCGCGGAATCATTAGTCACAGCAGGCAATTAGGCAAGACAGAACTTGGAAGAAGCTTGGATCAACAACAGAGAGCAATCTAATCTTTTAGCCTTGTTGCTATTATTCATCTTAACCTGCAAGAACAGAAATTGAATAAATCAGAGATTGACAGTAGCCTAGAGGACAGAACAGCTGTTCCTGGAAAATTAGCCAGGTTGGCTGAAGAGTACTTGGCAGTATCGGAGCCTTTTAATTTAAAAAGCAGACATCTGGACCAAGCTAAGAACTTTGCAGCAATACCGATGTTTAAAACATGTGTCTTGCTCCCTTGAGTCCTAGGATCCAGATTAGCCTTAGCAAGAGAAGATGTAAAGAAAACTTTGGGGTAGAAAGAAAATAAACTGGTTTTTGCAACTATGTCATGAAAGAACAGGTAACCTACTACAGAAGTTAGCTTCTACTGTGAGCATTTCAGACTGCAAATTGATGTGCCATTTTTTCTCTTAGAAAAAGATTTGATTCTAGGTCAGTGTCCTGAAAACTAATTAAATTTTAGATAGGCAGGCAGACCAAAAAAACCCCCCAAAAGGTAGTCTTTATGTCTGTGCATTTCCTCACTGTATTGTGTTAAATTCTTAGATCATTTGGAAATAGAACTAATATACTACAAATATGGAGATATAAGTTAGGAGTAAGGGTGAATGATAGAGAATGTGATCTAGTTAAAGCCTGGTGGAGTTTATCTATGAGGGAATGAGGGAGGGAGGGAGCGGCACAATCTCTTGAGAAGGACTGACTGACAAAGTGGGGAGGACAAGCATAAGCTGAACTGAAAGCAGCTAGCCTACCACACATTGAAAAAAAAAATAGTGTTTTATGGATGACTGTACTCATTCTACAATTAACAGTAGATAGGTAACATGACGCTAAAATGATGGGACATCTGGAACCAGGAACAAATTATTTCAGTAAACTAATGCCGAAGTTGGCATTTGGACAAATGGGAGGAACAGCAAGTAAATACAAGCAGAGCAGAAAGATAAATCTTTAAGTAATAAAAAAGAAGTAGACTTGGAAGAGTAGCAACCTAACCTCCAAAGTGCACTCTGGATTATACTTCCTAACAGATGCCACAGTGAGCCTGACACGGCGTTAACACAGAGGCAAAATTAAGCAATAGTGTTCACAGAGCTCAAGCTGACTTGGAGAAGTCAAAACCAACTCAACAATGGCGAAGATGAGTAAGGAGAGGGAACGCTGCAGCACAGGCCTCAGGATGAGCTTTTCCCAAAGCAAAGCAGGGTTATTACTCTAGCACTGTAAAAGCTGAAAGCTGGGCACTCGAGTAAAGCTCACAAGTTTTATCTGTGGTAGTTTGAGCCCTAACACCTGGGAATAGGGCCACTACTCAGAACCACAATCTTGAAAAGGGCCGCGGGAGTAAGCAGCAGCACGCTTGGCGCCAGATGCTGCCCTGAACTTACTTCACATGGTCACACCAGAGAACCTGCTCTGTTTTCTGGTGCTACAGATCAGAGTTCTTCTGGACATCTGCCAAAAGCTCATTTCAGACACACATTTCACCAGAAGACTAAAATCCAAGTTTCTTTATGCAGGAAATTTTGCAAGCTGTGTCGTCTCGGGTCGGCCCCATAAGAAGTTGCAACTGAGCACTTTTACCCCACCTTTGTTTTCTGGGCAGTCAGTAGCACTGGAAATCCCCACAGAGTAACACTCA